AAGAAACAAGTTATTTGGAGATGTAAGTTTATGCATGATTTTAAGAGGGTAAAAATAGCACCAAGTACGAGCGCGCCCGGCGACGAGGGACAGACGAGAAGAGGGGAGGAAGGGAGGAGAGAGGGAGGGGAGGGCGAGACAGAAGAGAGAGGGAGTAGCGGGAAAACCGAGGGAGAACCAAGAGTAGAAAGGTGAGTGACGTGGAGAGAAGAATCTATAGTCTAAGTGGCAAGCCGCGACAGTTATCCAGTAGCATTCTCGTCAACAAATCTGGTCAGTTAGATGATCTAGGCTAAATGTACAAATACCATCCTTCTTGGTGACTGCAATCAACATTTAGTGCAAACTGCATTTAATAATTTTCTTGTAGTGCATGGACAACCACGTCACATTCCCCACTCATCAGTCAGGATCATCCCCGGACCCAGTGTTATCAGATATACCAGATCTCTTGGAATTCTGTGAACCACTTAGCACTGTGGGATCACCATCCTGTTTTCTCCCGTTTTGTCAATGAACCCAGCATTGAAAACAAAAATGAGGTTCTAAGCAATGGTGGACAATAATCAAAGATCTACAGGACTTATCCCGTGAACATCTGATTCCCCCTCTCACACAAAATGATGGAACCATTGATGGAACCATTGCTACTAGCTCCCGAGAAAGAGCTGAAGTACTTGCATAATATTTTCCAACTAAAATGTCAGTATTAGGAGCAGAGACAATACCCAAAGATACCCACCTCGCACAGACAAGAGGATTTCTAACTTCTCTACAAAGGGAAGGGAAGGCTAAAGAGTTCTCTGCACCCTTGATGTCAAAAAAAGCCATTGGCCCTGATGGTAAGTCCATATTTTCTGTGCTGCAGAACTATCACCAATATTTACGCATCTAAACAGAACATGTCTGGCTAGGGGACAAAGGGCAGTAAAAAAATAATAATAATAAATAATAATAATAATACGAGTTGTACCAGTGCATAAAAAATAAACCCTGGAAATTACCGTCCAATATCTCTTCTGTCAATCACTGCAGAAACTTTTTGAGGAAATCATAAAAAAAATCAATTAAAAATCACCTAGTAAACAATAGCCTACTATCAAAAAGACAATTTGGATCACTGAAGTAAATCTGCATCCGATCTCCTCCTCCTCCTCCTGTCTCACAGATGGGCCCAACACCGAGAGATACGAGCGAGAGAGATACGAGACTCATAGCCCTTGATATCTCTGGCGCTTTTGATTCGCTATGGCATTAAAACCTTATTGCAAAACTCAAGAGCCTTGGCATAGAAGGACAACTATAGTTTCTTAGTGATTATCTCACTAACAGAAGTCTCTCGGTAGTTCTTCAGGGATCAGAATCAAGATCATATCCCATCGAAGCAGGAGTTCCTCAGGGAAGCCTTTTAGGACCATTGGTGTGGAACATTTACTTAGATGACCTGCTTCATCTCATTCCTGAGAGAGAGAGGAGGGGAGGGCAAGGGGAGAGAGAGAAAAAAGAGAGAAGGAGGAGAGAAGAGAGAGAGAGGAGGCGAAGGGAAGGAAAAGAGCTTAGATGACCTCCTTCATCATCAAATTCCTGAGAGATAGAGGAGCACAAGGGAGGCCAAGGAAGAGAGAAAAGGCAGCGCTGAGGACGGGAGGGGGGAGAGAGAGTGAGGGAGGGCGAAGGGAAGAGAAGCATTCAGAAGCGGAGACGGGCGAGCGAGAGAGACAGAGTGAGTGGAAGGATATAAAAAAATACCAGAAATAGGTTATCGAAAAACAGTCTGGATTCTCGGCGAAACCACTGCTATCGCCGTTCTGCTTTGTCCTCGCCTTCCTTTTCAGCATATCTTATTGCATTCACGTCTCTCCTTCAGCCATGGCAGTTATTATTATATCTTCATCTCTTCTTTCTAGTTTTATTATTTTATTTATTCCTTATTCTTATTAGTTCTTATTCTCTCTTTATTGTCATCAGCAGTAGAGAGCAGGCGCTGGGGACTCCTGTCTCCCTCCCTCCGCTGTTAAAGTATAAGCACTGTCGGATAAGGTGGGCGCACGCCGTTATAAGGATACAAGACGACCGTCGGTTGAACCCCCGGAGACCTGGGAGCATCTCACACACCCCGCCTCGGCAGCCGAGCGACCTCCTCGAGGAAAGCGCACCGCCCACACGCCAGAGCACTTTCAATAACGCTTACTTGTAAGATACTTGTCCAGAGTTGGGATCAGGATTAGACATTTGATGTTTACTGGCTTAGAGGTTCAAAAACTTAGTTCCATATCAACGAAAGTACGTCCAAAGGACTATCGTGCGACTTACGATCTAATTCTCACCTAATCTTCATTTCATAGTGTTTATTAGGGCCTAAAGCAATAGGAATAAAAGGTGTTTTCAAAAAATAGCGGTGATGTATGATACTTCTTTTCAACCCGAGCTGATTATAAAGGGAAACAGTACATAAATACATTCTCCCAGTAAATAGCTGAGAGGAGAGAGAAAGAGAAGAGGGGCGGAGGGAAAGGGAGAGAGCGATGGAGAAACGAGAAGAGAGAGAAGGGAGACGGGAATGAGAGAGACAAGAAGAGAGAGGAGGAGGAAGAAACAGAGAAGAAAAAAGCAGGGGAGGGGGAAGGGTGCGTTGGGCCCGCAGAGAGAGAGTCGAGTCGGAGAAGAGAAAGGAGAGAAAGAGCGGGGCAAGGGAATAAAAGAGAAAGGAGAGACATCAGGTGAAAGAAACAGCCTCTCTCGGATTATCTTGGATCGCCTAACAGCTTGC